CGCATGGTGAGTGGTGCTGTTCTCCATTATTTACACAAAGAAAAGGCTCCCCACACGCAAGCAGCTAGCTGTCAAGGCTGGTCTCAACCGCTGATCGGATTCAGTTCCAATCACCGTGTGTGGTGGTGTCCGGTCGCCGGCATCATCATCATCATCAGCAACAGCAGCAGTGCTTTCAGCGCGTGGCGTTGAACATTGTTCTGCAGTACACAACGAAAGGCTGCCTGCAAGCAGCGAGCTGCAGCCCACATGAGCATCCATAGAAGGAGGAAGAAGCCGCACCGCTATTGATCGGAATCAGTAGCTCTTCACAAACTTCTGCTGCAGTTAACACATAAGATTTATTATAAAAGACCACGTAGTCCTACGTCACTATTATGTACAACCTCGTAGGGCTGTCCCTTGTAGTTTTTTGTCGTTGTTAATCATCGGTACTGTTTCAGTAAAGTGTTTTTATTTATTTAACTGTTCAATGTGATGCACATAAATGGAGCGTCACATATCATATACGTTTACATTATATATCATGTAAAGTTCTGACACATTTCATGCAATGTGGCAAATATTGTATACGAAAGCCCATCTTTGTAAACAACATTGTTTGCAAGTTGCTCGGTTGCGTGAAATGAAATACAACTTTACGTGAATGAATGTTTACATCACAATTAAAATTCAGAATTTTTATCTGTGTAGAAATATAGTATGAGGACCCAAAGACATAATTCGGTTTCCTTCGTCTCCAGCCAGGCCTTAGTGGATAATATCCATACCTCTCACGCCAAAGTCACGAGTTCAAATCTCATTTCCGGAGAAGCCACAAATTACCCAAAAGCGTTAAAGTGACTATAATAAAAAACAAAATAAAAAACATAATGCATAAATGCTCAACAAAAGGAGCCTTTCAAATGTTTACCGTTATAGCAAATAGACTATGCTTCAAGCAATGTTGATGTCGATTTTTTTTTTTTTTTTCAATGGAAGATTTTGCTTTCTGCTAACTTGACTGAGATATATGCATTTTAGTGAATTGATGTTTGGGAAATTATAATTTATTTCAAGGATTTTGGACAACCTAGCAAATGAGCAAATAACCTAGCTCAATCATCTCTGATTTGGATGATTTTTTTGATATGACGTCGGAATGTGACATCATTTTTTTTATCTCGTTCGTTTATTTGTAAGGCTCAATCGCATTAGCTTAACCGAGCCGATAATTTACTGTTCTTTGTTTGCAACAAAATTCACTTAATTCTATGTCTAGTAGGAGTTGGGCCGAATACTCGCGGCTTACTCGAGGTTAGAGAGGTACATTGTCGAAGGATAGGATCAGGGGAGGAGCTTGGGGGTAAGGTTTCGTTGTATGAGACATCATTAATTTTCAACAGGTCATGAGACCATTTTGACTTAAGACTGATCTTTCAAAAGGGCGAGGGTGTGTTAACATATACATTATTCGTCTTGTAGCCACCACACCACCACTGGGGATAAAAACGCATAAATGAATCGAAAAAAAAACTCCTATTCAGACTGGATGAACTTGCCCAAATTAGTCCTTCTTACAGGAACAAATCTCAGAATCCGAATGGAATTTGTTTCATATTATACAGGAAAGTGCGAATTGGGATTTAAAGCGATGTTGGTACACGGATAGAAATCTCCTTATACCATTTGGCGGATTTATATTGCTGATTATTCATAAAATGCATAAGTCAACTTATAAGCAGACGCCTTGCTAAAAATTAATGAAGCTCATGTGTCAAATTAATTGTATAAGCGGTCACACATACCTTTTATGCATTCTTATAGGACCTATATTTGTCTTATGGAATGTATAAGGTTGATGTTTTGCCAAAAATGTATAAGTGAAATACATGAATAAAATAATTGATTTTCGTTTCGTGTATAGCTACCAGTTTTCATCCTGTTGTTGCTTTTGTAAGTCCTGTTTTTTTCTTCGATCTATTGATTCTTTTTTTTCTGCTCCCATGCCTTCCTTATGGGGTTCATACTGTGCCCCTCCATCCTGCATAAGAAACACATGTTCATAATGCTGCCGTAGAATATCCTATCCGATTGAGGGAATGAAGCGAGGGGGAAATCTTCTTTTTCACGTCCATATTCACACCTTATACACCGGTGTGCATATCGACAACTTCTACTGGCAGACATGTTTAACTTTTCCGTACTTCCCTAGCGCCAGGTATCCATTCATTTTGTATAATGGAAAATTAATTTATCACAGCATACACTCCTCCGAATTGAACTTATTGAAAACCTCTTTTTACTCTGAAATCTAGTTAGTTGCTTTCGTAGCATCATAATTCGCATCCAGTTTCTTGACGAAATAAGCAGTCTCAGCCCTCGGCCCTCGTATATCAATTTCCAAATTTAAAACAATTATATAAAACTCATTACTAACAACCATAACAATTTACCCCTTGATGCAAGGTTGAAAATACTCATATCAGCTAAAACTATGTTTTTTTTTTTTTAATTATGAAATAACTAGATGCTATGATCATATTTTTAATAAGTAAGATACAAGAAGAGGTTGCAAAGAATGTGTTTGACATATTATACCTGTTTATTTTACTTCATGAGAGTCACAATCAGCGATTTTTCACACACTCACTCACTTACTCACTCACTCACTCACTCACTCACTCACTCAGCGATCAGCAAATCGCTGATTGTGACTCATAGAAAGCAAAACTTACAGGTTTTATGTTTCAAACGTATACTTTGTAACCTCTTCTTGTAAGATGCAAGTAAAACATGTCATCATACCATATTTTGGTTTTATTATTCCGGAAAACATTATTTTAGCTGAAATGAGTACACTGGAGTCGCTTTTTACGCGGTTTTTTTTTACGCGGTTTTTTTTTTACACGGTTTTTTTTACGCGGTTAGTGCCGCTGAGTCGCAATTTACGCGGTACGTTTTTAACGATCTCTCAACAACGATACAACCTATCGACTTGATTCCAATCACATTATCCGTTTCAAGCTATAGGTAATAGAATGGCATACTTTTAAAAAAATCACAATTTTTGGTGTAAATACAGAAATTTTTAAAATATGTCTATATGGACCATAGCATGCTATAATAACAAATGGCATCAAAATCCGATTTATAAAAAATATTTAAGCATGTGAAAAATCAAAATCTCGGTAGTTTTTTTACGCGGTTTTTTTTACGCGGCACGTATCCCCCGCGTAAAAAGCGACTCCAGTGTATTTGCAACCTTGCCTTGAAGAAGACACCATCTGCTGAATTAACAATTGTAGCTGTATATTAGCTTATGTAAGAAAAAAATAACAGAAACAACTAATTTGTGCCAGTATAAGCAGCTCTCTCTCTCTCTCTCTTTATCTTTCTTTGAGCTAGTCTCATCGGCTGTGTGCTGTATTTGAAATACGTTTGCATAGTTGCTAAGACAACGCAGCCCTAATCGATACTCGATGAGTAGTTCGAAAGCAGAAAGGTTCATCTGAGATTCTTTAACGCATCAGTCATATAAGACTTTGGCAAGTTTGACTCCCATTCGACCTCATCAGGCTTATATCTTGAAGCAACCCGAATAGTAGTTGGCAACATTCAGCTATATGACCGGTTTTTTTTTCTATTCTTTTATACTCATTTAAGTAGAACAAATTGTCTGATTCTGCTGTCTGCAGCAAATTCAACCATGTCGATAAATATTCGCATGAATACGAGGGTCTCAAATATCTTGTTTTTTTTTAACAGCTAATACAGGTTTAGACTATGTCTCTAAATCCAACGGCTATTTAGAGTCCACAAGCAGTCTCTAAATGGGACTTATTGATACGAGTCCCATTCCAGTAGAACACCCATGGCTCATGTTCTACGTATGACCATCAATGTGCTAATCTTCTTGATCTTCCATGTAACATAAAAAGGTAGTAGCTATGCAGATAAAATGTGTGTGCTCTCTTTGGTTCCTACAATGACGACGGATGATGCAAGCTGCTTGATTCCATCTGCAATTACAGCAAACAATGCATAACATTGTTGACATCCATACACTTTCAAAGTAGCACAAGCTTCCCTTTGGGATCGGAATATCTTGTAAATTGTTAATCTCATAAAGCTCAGTTTCGAACGATGCGATGTACGGAAAAACTCAAACAATACAAAGTTATACGAAAACCAAAACCCTACAACATCGGAAAGCTCACTTTCTGCTCTCAGCGCTCACAATTTAATTCTCACCGTACACCTACAATGTATGGCGCGCTGTTGCTTCTCGTTTGCTGGTTTGATACCAAACAATAGCTTGTTTACACGTAGGAAAAATCATGTAAAATGGAGTTATTTTGCGATGAAAAAAGCATATCGTTGGTGATCCCGCAGCGTACGGCCAAAGAAAAGGGTAAGTGAATGTGGTTTGCGCGCTTGTTACCATACTAGGCCTTTAGTGCTTCCTCCCCGGACAGTGAGCTATTAAGCTAAACGGTCTTGTTGTACACTTGCTAAGCGCTGCACGCATGACGCCTCATCAACTCCCCTGATCGTCCCCTCACCATCCTCCCACGAATTGAACAATGAAATCCGCACCCAACACCATGGCATATTCTTAGAGCATAGCCTTATCAAGTTTACCTGATAAAATGCTGCTGCATACACTCTCCGGTTACAATAGCTATTATGAACTCAGTTTACAGCCCCTGAAATTGCAAGCCACAATGTGCCTGATGACGGTTGAAAGCCACTAGTTCCGACAACAGTATCACAAACATCCCAGATACGAGGAAAAAAATCATATCATGCTGCCAGGCATTACCTACACTCTGTGGAGTTGGTTTTCTAAAAGAATGAAAATTTCTCGCAATTTTTTCGCTACTTCCTCCCTGCCATGCTGCGCGCCATGGAGGAGGAAGCAATGGCGAAAAAACTGCAGAACAAACAACACCCCGTTCAACCGTGTAACAGTAGTTCTCATAGAGCTTCCTTTCTTTCTTTCTTTCTTTTTTCAACAGGAAAAGGCACAAGTAATAATCATGTACTACACGTTCAGTGCTCGTCATACCATCGTCATCGTCGTCGGTGAGATCCTTATGGTGCCGGGTTCGTAGTTGTTGGTGGCGGTGGTCACGCCATTCCATCCACTATCATCAGCATCAGCATCGTCATCCTGGCTGACACCGATGCATTATTGGGAGCCGGGTGGCAAGTAGCTCCTAACACTAATGGTGGTGGTCGCGAGAAGAAGGTGCTTCAATGATAACAAAGTACACAACACGTGTAATTCGTAGAGGGTAGTAGAATTCGTACCGACCTTGCACAATTCTCTGAGACACAGAGGGGGAGGCTGGAATGATGGTAGTAGAGGAAAATTTTAGCTCTGTTTGTTTCGAGTTGAGCGGATGCTACTAACTGCTGCTCGTTGTGCGTTGAATTTGTACTAATGCTTGTTGCCATGCTTGTAGATTTTTATGACATTAAACGAAATGCAATGTTACGACAAAGGTAAGATTTTTGAGGTTTCATTGAAATAGCAGAAAGGGTGGCAAACAACTCTTAAACTGGGACCGTCAGTTATTTTGTTCTTCTCTAATAATCAAATACCATACCCGAACGATAACCCAAAGGATTGAACTATTCTACAAATAGTTGAACACGTCGTTAAGCAAAATAACCATGCAAGTTTTATCAGGGTTTTGAATACTTCATATCGATATAAATGACTATTATTAGTCCACGAGTAATCTAGAGCGATTTTTGAGAGACGTGCTTCTTGGAAAATCCTGCACCACAATGGACGCAACAAGCGTTAAATTAAAAGAAGGCCGTGAAGGAAGATCCTAAGAAATTTAAATGTTCAAATTGTGGTGAAAACTACAAATCCAATTTTTGGGAATGTAAGACTCGCAAAGCGATCCTACATTCTCGTTCTAACCGACAGGTAGGAAACGCTCCACGTTCCCGACCAGGTACAAATTTGTCTGCTTTTAACAACGGTCAGCGAGGAACAAATTCTACATTCGTACCCGTAGGTACAAATATCACCCCTGCTTCAAATATTTCATCTATACCTACTCCCCTCGCTGCTAACAATGTTCAGCGAGTTAATGGAGCTACCTATGCTGCTACGTAATTCTAACGGAAATTTTGAAAATTTTGACTTAGGAAGCTTTAGTGCTCCTAAAATGGATTTTTTACAGAAATCATTAATTGACATGATTACTGATATGCTTAAATCTAACTCCATGTTTGATAAAAAGGTAATTATTTAGGCTCCTTCGAAAAACTCAACTGCGTCTAGAACAAATTATTTGCGGGATAGGGGCCACCCTAGACATTTAAAGTATTTCACAATAGTCAGTATTTTACAACGCGATTTTTTAATTACTGAAAAATCCGGTCAAATTCAAATAACCGTTATCCGTAAGGGATCAATGGAATTGTAAAATTTTATTTCCTATCATTAAATAGGGTTAACAGAGATAAGTTCGGAATAAATTTTCGTAAACTTTTAGCGAAATTCAAAAACCCATTAAAACCTTACTGACTAATCTAAGAATATTTTCAGTAAAGCTGCTTCAAATAAAATATTCTTCAACTTTGTTGAACATTATGCTGGTCTATCTCAAATAACTTACAAGTTGATATTTTGTTCTCTGTCGCCGATACCCCTCGTTGCGGCGAATTGGTGGTGAACCAATTGACTGAACCCTCGCGAGCGAAACACCGTTGTCGGGCGAAGTGAACGATAGAAGTAAACAAACAGAACAATACGAGGCGAGTTAGTCAGCAAAATTGAAGAAAACTTGATAGTGCAGTGAGATAAAATCGAGACGTTTTTCGTAAGTTTAAGTAAATTCAAAATTCGAAGACATTGATTAAACAACGTTTATTATAGCCACCTAAACGGTTTATTCAACCCTTGCTGAATTTGCCACGTAGTAAGTGGTAACTTAGATATAATTGAGGTATGTTTTCCCTGAAATCATAAACATAACACTTACCTTTGATTTGTCGCGTAACCTAAAAAGGACCTAAAATACTTACCCTTGACTGTACTTACTATTAGATTGAACTGGAATCGTCCTTCCATGGCAAACGTTGACCTGAAATAATGTGTAAAAGAGCACTGAAAATGTAGGATAATTATTATATAATTACCATTGTATCACCACTAACATAACGTAATAAATTACAGCTTTGAAGCTGCTGAGTACGCAACTAGAAGAACGGTGTTAGTTCCGACTTACGGGAACAGTTCTCAATAACCATCTATTTTCACTTACATCAAAAAAATGACCAAAAACTGGCTCCCCGGAACTGGATCAGCATATCAGGAAAATGACCGAAACGGCCATTTTTTCATACTTCTTACGTTCATACTAAGTAGTTTAATGCAGTTATTTAAAAAATTATGTTATGTTTCGCTGAACAATGCCAATCACTTCTGATGACAATGCAAATGAGGTCCAGTTATAATCATTAAGTTATTTGACTATCTTGTTACAGTTAAATAAAGAAAATTTACATTGTTTGGTTGAAACCGAAATCAAATAAGATTAGTGCTTCCTCTTCATCATCGTATTTCAAGCATATTGCTTATCGCATATTGCTTATCGCATATTAGCTTATTGTGTGCACTTCAACAGTTATTAATTGGGAGCTTTCGAGGATTGGAATCGAGAAAAGACATAGCAAAAAAATCCCATTAATACACGTGTATCATCTTTGGGGCTCCTTCGTGAAGCAGCTTACCAAGAATTTCATAGTTTCCTTCTACCAGTCCGAGCAAGCTATATTCCAAAGGCAGTTTGTCATGAAAAAGGGAAGAAGATTACATCATTATTGCTTTAAATTTCTGCCACTGCGTTATCAGTTGGCTCGCTTGTCATTTTGTCATTTTGGGATATTTTTGATTCCTTGGTGGCAACTACAGTCATATTCTATGCCCAGGGAAGTCGAAAAAACTACAAGGGACAGCCCTATGGGGTTGTACGCAATGGTGACGTAGGACTACGTGGTCTTATATAATAACTTTTTATTTGTTAACTGCAGCAGGAACTTGTGTTTTGTGTAGGAATAGGAATTTGAACGGGATTCTCTCTATTTATATTCTTTAGTATGACTATGATTGCTCTGAAAAGAACCATTAGATATAAATTTTAGTTGGGACATGTTCAGAAATTTAACTTTTTTGGAAAATCTTGTGGTGCTAGAAACGGCCGACGGTAGTACAGGCTTAAAGCCTTTGGAAAATGATGATGACGTGTAGGCAGCTAGATCAGCAAATCGGACCGGACAATTCCATTTTCTTCGGTTCAATGATTGGGCACCCGCAAGAGTCTTGACCCGTTTGCTGCTGGACAGGAGTTGAACTGTTGTCTGCAACAGGTTGGAAGGCCGCAGAATATCAGTGTCCACCCAGCCAAAGCTCCTCCCCTTTTTAGTTTTTCACGGTAAACTCCTTCTCTCCTAAGTTGGTAAATCTTAGGCTTTAGCAGAAAGACGCTTAACGCTTTTTTCGGCGAATGTATGATCCTGTTTCACGTCATGGTTCTTCTCTATGCCTGTTCAGATAAATTAGTACTTTTATTTATTTTCTCTACTGCGCTAAATCAAGCAAGTAGATATAAAAGCTGGAAAAATCTTTACGATTAATCGTTAATCGAATAATTGAACTTTTAGACATCCCTAGAAAATAGTGTTATTTCATATTTTTGGTTAGTTCTTCGAAAATGTCAAACAGAAGAAATTCAACCAGCAAGTGTAACCTAAGAACCAAAAGCGGAGCGATGCTAGTTGTCATTGCTATGACGATGACTGAATTAAGAGGCTTAGAAGCACAGGGGTGAAAGTCGATTCCCTTCATCGATTTCCTCTTTTGATGATCATGGCTTCCCTAGCCTAAAATAGATCAAAATCACTTGCACCCCTGCTTCCAAGTTTGGTTACAATATTACAACTCTGGAGAGCATTTTGTGTGGTTTTTGGGGCGTGTGGATCTGAATATGGCGAAGAATGTGCACAATGTTACGCAATTGCATCCTCCCTATTCACACACTTGTTTCGTCTACTAACGACTCTCTGATGACTGTGTTGGGGAAGCAGCATATGCAGGTACGTAATAGGTAGATTTGTTAGTTATTTTGACGCTTTTGAATAATGCTTAACATTTTCCACTTTTTCAATAGTTTCTTGTTAAAAATCATCAGCCAAAGAAATATTTCTGATCGAATGGTGATAAAATTATTGAAATTGGTCCAGGGGCAGCTGAGTTATTAACGTTCAAAATCTTTCATAATTTTTTTACATGTTCCATTTTCGTTTTTCACAAAGTGTACCCACATATAAAAATCACAGACGTAGTCCTACGTCAAAATTTCCAACCTAGACCGGACAGGGAATCGTACCCAGCCACCTCCAGCATGGTATTGCTATGTTAATTGAGCCTTTACCGGCAGAGCTAAGGGGAGTATCTTCATTTGCAACTAGTTTCATCAAATTTTGATAAGAATTGGATTTTTTGCAGGAAAACAAAAAGGTCATCTCGTCAGAATACGGTCGGAGCACTGTAATTAACCTCATAATTTAAATTTTCATCGAATTCTTCTTGGAATTGCCTTGATAGTCTACGCATAACTACGATGGAATTCTCTTTAGAATTCATTGTAGGATCTCCTCACAATTCCAAAGGAATTCTTGTCAAAATTGCCTTGGTCTAAATTCAATTAAAAATTTCCAAGAGCTCCCTAGAAATTTTCCATTGACTTGCATAAAATTAAAAATCAACCTGAAGTTATCCACACGATCCTTTAGGAATTGCTAAGCAATCCCTTAGTATTTTCCAAAATATCCCATGGAATAACGTTTTTAATTTTCTTTGAATTCCTCTTATTTGAATTCCCGTAAATTCCTAGAAATACTACTAAGAGTTCCCGCGGTATTCTCCCTTAAAAGCCCTTGCAATTATTCTCATTTTTTCTTTGCAAATGCTCTGTAACCATCCTCAAGCAACCCTTTGAATTCACTTTTGAAAGTTATTTGAATTTTCTTCAAAATTGATTTGGAATTTTCTATAGAAC